TTTTTTCAAGTGAAAGTCTTTAAATGAATAGAAAAATATATTTAAACATATTATGTACATATAAAATTTTAAAATGATTAGTATGTTAAGTTGAAGATTTAGGCGGATAAATAGTGGATCCGGTAGGCAGACGTTGTCTTGCCACAGACTTCTTTTGTTAAATGTCTTTTAAGAAATTAAAAAAACTACCTTTGGATCTCGGCAACAATGCCATCTACCAGGTAAAATGTAAGAAACATCCAGGTAAGAAAAATAAGTACACAAAAAATACATTAAAATCTATCAAGCATTTTAGAAGGAGAAGTATTATTTCTTTATTTATTAGTTACTACATACACCAGAATTTTATAAATAAAAAATATTTTTTACACCAATATTACATAAGTTCAAAATAAGTAATACACCACACAACTTAATTTCTAAAAATACAGAAAATGAATATATTTTCATTTTAAATGTAAATCAAGATATAAGTATATGCAATATACATTAAATTGTAGATCCTATATATTGATATGAATTACCAGCTATCATCTTACCAAATTTCATCAAAATCCCTCCAGCGGATTTTCCGTGATGCGGTCACAGACAGACAGATAACAATTCTAAAAACTATAGATTCGGCCTCTGTATCGATAATAGTAACTATTTCAAGAAGATTTTCCAAAAAAATATTTAATGTACAGATTCGGCTAAGTTACAATTTTATTATATATTATGTATAGATAAATAATATAATAATATGAACCTAACTTCTAAAGCACAACTAAAGTTAGGACCTTTCATAAAAGAATAACAATAAAAGCTCGCAATCAATATCATCAAGTACAAGACTTAAAAGCTAACAGAAAGCTACGAAATTTCCAATTGACAAATAGTCCGCGTGAGATTCACAAAATAAACTCCATTCACTTCCATTCACTCTTTCACTTTCCTTGAAACGTCGCTTTTTACCTGGATCGAGATTGATTCTCCTACAGTTGAGCTCGAGTCAACTTTTCAACTTATTTGGTCGAATCTTCACTAAGAATTTAAAAGCATTGAGCTTTGGCTTTACTCTCAATAGTTTGTTAAGTGCTTTTATTTTTAATGTAGAAGTCTAGATTTTAACCGATTTGAAAAATGGTAAATTGTTTTAGTTTAACATCATATTTGGGACATTTGAGATATTATATGATTTTAAATAACACTTTCATATTCACTCATAGAAGCTAATAAAAGTTATTATAAAAATTGTTTAAAATTCAAATTTACAAATATTGTAAGGCACTTTGGTACCATTTTTGTATTTTTGAAATCGTTTTGTAAATTTGTGTCACAAACTATATTCTTACCAAACATCTAATCGGTTTAGTATGTCCAGAGATAACCTTCTACAACCTCACACACTTTACCTCTTTATAATATTAGTATAGAAAAACCGATAAATACTATACTATATATGATTGTAACAACATATATATATATATATATATATATATATATATATATATATACGTATATATATATATATATATACGTACATATATATGACTTCACATGTAATCAAAGAGATCTCTATCTCGATCTCTACATACATTCACTTCTTACATTATATAATCTATAATTATTATTTTTTTGTAAATCATAACATATTATTCTATTATTTTTTTTGTATTATAGAATTGATACTATATATATATATATATATATATATAGTTTATCTATTACATACTAACCGTTAGAACCCTACCTAGGGACGAACCCGAGTAAAGCAAGGGCGAGTAGCTAGTATCAGAAAATAAAATATGCACATTGCACATTAAGAAAGTATAACTACGTATACGCTCGATCTATTAATACTTATACCCAAACATCCTTTTATCTATCAAATAGCTGCCAACTATAGTACTCGTCTATTATCATAATTTCCCAAGCGAATTTCCCAAAACAATCTTAATTTTGCCATTAACAGGCCCTTATACATATTGTAAATAAAGTTCAATTTTGCTTAGTGCGAATCTCTAGTATTTGGTAATTTAAAGACAAAGGAAATAAAACTTTAGCGTAAAGGAATAAAGTATATAATTTATTGATTTTCAAAGATAATTTCAACTTTCTCAAAATGAGAAGAGTTCGGTTAAGGCAAAACTTGTAATGTAATCGTCACATAGAGTTTTCAGTTTTAGAATATTATCAATTAGAGGTGATATACTTAGCATACAATCTATACATATAATAAAGTCGAATCTGTACATTAAATATTTTTTGGAAAATCTTATTGAAATAGACATTATTATCGATACAGAGTCCGAATCTATAGTTTTTAGAATTTTTGTCAGTCTGTCTGTCTATCTGTCTGTTACCGCATCACGAGAAAACCACTAGACAGATTTTGACGAAATTTGGTATGATGATAGCTGGATATTCGGGTCAACATATAGGATACTTTTTATCGCAGGATAATATCTCATTTCTAAGAAAAATACAAAAACTGCATTGTAAGAGTATACTAATATGTAAAACCTTAGAATTTGGTTTTTGGTTATCTATTACGCGGGCGGAGCCGCGAGCAATGCTAGTGTAGTATTTTTTTTTAAAGGTAGTAAAAAATTTAAATTGTTTATCTTTTAATTTCTAGACATTAAACCTTTTATCTTTTTTGTTTACTTATTATTTAAATTTTAATTGTCTCGAAAGTCTTGTGACTTATTGAAAGATTAGCGACTCACTTCGCCCCGCTGGGACTCGTCCCTAGGTATGTTTTAACGTTTAGTATGGATTTCTCAAAAATGATATATTTTCCCGCAGTAAAAAGTATCCTATATGTTGAGCCGGATAACCAGCTATCATCATAACAAATTTCATCAAAATCTGTCCAGTAGTTTTCTCTTGATGCGTTCCCAGACAGACAGACAGACAGACAGAAAAAAATCTAAAAAGTATAGATTCGGCCTCTGTGTCGATAATAATGATTATTTCAATAAGATTTTCCAAAAAAAAAATTTAATGTACAGATTCGACTCAGACTTTTATTATATGTATACATTTTAAACAGAAAAAGCAAGTCCCACCATGGAGATGGAATAAACAATTACTTCTTTCACCTTTGTAAAAATGTGTAAAAATATATGGTAATCCACAACCATAGTAAAAACAATATTTTAGCAAAATTTCATTCATAAATAACCAAGACAACATATAAAACTGTTATTTAGTTTAAAATTTTAAAGTAATAACCAAAAAGTTCATATTTCCAAAGTTATATTTAATAATAAGCAAGACATAACTCAATCTTTTGTCTCATACGTGTCATCATGGCTTCTTGCATCTACTTGCATCTTGCAGACGTAGCTGTCTAAACTTAGGACCCCTCATATTTAGCTCGAGCTTAAAACTTGGATGTAAAATTCGAATATCATATTTTCGCAATTTTTACCATACATTGCTTAGTTTGTTGTTGTTGAATTATTTATAAAGGAACAAAATAAAGCAATGGAAAGCAAAATTTTTGGTTATATTTTCCGAAGCACATAGTAAAGGTCTTCAACCTTTGTAATAAATTTTCCACTTCACTTTAGGTTAATATAATATGCCACCTTTGTTAACATCTAACCAAATATTAGTGTTAGTAAGTTTGGAGTGATGGGTGCTTTCATTAGAATTTGACGCGTCTGCATCATTAAGAAGATTTTGTACGAAGTATTCTAAAAGATACTATAGATAGTTAGTTAGTTAGTTATTTTATTAGTTTGATCGACGTCCATTATCTGTTATCTATACTATAATATTATAAAGAGGCAGAGTTTATTTGTTTGTTTGTTTGTTTGTTTGTTGGAACCCGTCTTATGAGCTACTTTACTTTTACTAGATTTGAAAAATTCTTTTTGAATTAGATAGCCCGTTTATTGAGGAAGCCTATATATGGGCTATATATCATCATGCTACTACCAAAGAGAGCGAAACAGTAATTATAAATGTCAACAAATCGGACAGACTTCCATATATTATTGTAAAGGGATGGGAAAGAAAAGTTTGTTTTTTGTGCTTTGAAAACTGCAAAAAAATCCTAATTTGTTTTTTGACAATTAAATAAATATGTTAGGACATTAACACCCAGCACCATCTAATTCCGTGGTAAGCTATGAGGCTTGTATTATGGATACCAGATAGTTGATACACTACACATATATAACTATAAATACATACATATTATAAATATGACTGGAGTACAAACATTCGTGCTCATCACACATAGCGGGACTCAAACCTACGACCGCTGGCACAGCAAGTAGGGTCACTACAAACTGAGGCAAACGTGTCGTCAATTCTAAGAACCTTTTTCTTTTTAACGTTGGGAAATGCATTTACGCACGAAGTGTGGGACTCACCGGCGAAGCCAGTACTACCCACTAACAAAACCTTCCTCCGTCTTAATGGGGCGTCGCAGGATCGCTTACGCATTCAACTACAACGCCCCGACGGCAGATCTGCCGAAGCAGACAGCCCACAGAAGTGGGCCACCTCCCTGTGCGTTTCTTGGCTTCGCGCCCGGCTGTATTGCCGGGCACTACTGACACCACCACGACAATCAACGTCAACGGCGCGATGTCGTGCTGAGCAAGTGTAATTCCGTTTGACCCTTATATTTATCTCAAAATGAAGTATTGAAACAGTATAAACTTAAAATTAAGTGTGTTCTTGCAGTTACTAATATTTAAACTAGATATTTTAGTGCTATATTATCTTAATGTATTCAATTTCGAAATTTAGTGGTTAATATTGTTGTGCGGTGACATTGTGTGTCCTCTAGCTATTACGTTCAATGATCTCAGCTAGTGTTAGTACAGTAATGCAATATTAGTTGCGTTAATTCACTATCTTCACGTAAGACAAATTGGCGTTGCGGTAGACTGCACTGCCTTTACTCTTGAACGAACTGATATCTCGGGTTCAAATTTCGGCTGTGAATTTCTTTTAATAACTTTATTCATTTTAATTTATTATTAAAATACATAAATATGAAGTTTGCGTGTTGCAAATCGACCACAGGTGGCAGTAGTGACATTATTACTTGCACTAAATGCCGACAAAATTACCATGTTCAGTGCCTCTTCGCAACAGATAGTAAAAAAGAATTAAAACATGAGTTGAAAAAACATTGGATGTGCCCGGAGTGCTCTTTACTGATACCGAGGCAAACAAATAATGATAATACCCCTATACGTAGTAGTGGTGTCAATACTAAGTCAAATGAAAATATTAATTTTAAAAGAGGTGGTAGTTCATTGTCAACTATTCAGGTGGACACCTGTGAAGAGGCCGGGATAAATAATAATAATCTACTTGAGTTAATTAGGTCGGTTGTTACTTCGGAAATTTCTAGCTTGAAGGATGAATTTAAATCAGCATTCGTTCCACTCAAGGAAGAATTAATTTCGATTCGCCAGGATTTCAATTTTATAAAGGAATCCTTGAACTTCTTTAGTTCAAAATATGATAGTTTAAATTCACGTATTGAGAAATGTGAAAAAGAACTTCATCAGTATAGTGAAAAGGTATCTGAGTTCGAGGAAATAAAATCTACAATGCAATCAATCCTTACTGAAAACAATAATCGTGAGCAATGGGCTCGTCGATCGAATATTGAAATTTATGGAATTCCAGAACAAAAAAATGAAAATCTCTATTCTATTTTACAAAACGTTGCAAGCAAAACCTCAATAAAAATTGATCCTGGCACTGACATTGATTTTATCACCAGAGTTGCCACCAAAAACAAGAATAAAGATGGTAAAAAATGTAAGCCTATCATAGTTAAATTTTTATGCCGCTGGAAAAAAGATGAATTCCTCGCACAGGCAAGAAAACTAAAGATTAGGTGTAATGATTTAGGATTTTCTAACAACTATAATAACATTTACTTTAATGAGCACCTAACAAGCACAAATAAAACCTTGCTACTATCTGTAAAAAAAATAGCAAAGGAGAAGAATTATAAATATGTTTGGATAAAGAATTGCAGCATAATGATAAGACGTTCTGACAACAGTGCTGTGCTGAATATATCAAATATGAAGGATTTAAACAAAATTGTATAAGGACAATTTATATCTGTACCTGTGGCACTTCCTGTTACGGCGTTTTGGTGTTTTCTGGCTATAGTTGTTTTGATCTTTGTAATGCAATTTGTTCTTTATTGGTTTTTAACGTTGGTGAAGGCATTTGTGCAAATAAGTTAAGTTTTAAATGGATTATTCGTTGCGATATTTATTTAATGGATATTATTGCAGTCATTTATTACATTTATCATTTAACATATATTTTTTCTTATAATATAAATCAAATGCGGAATAGTGGAATTATTATTGTTATTATTATTATTATTATTTTTGTAATGAATTATATTGTACGTATAATTGCATTAAACTTATTTAATCATGGAATATAATTTAAACATTTTCTACCAAAATGTACGAGGCTTACGTACCAAAACTGATACGTTCTTCAGGGCTGTGATGCAGGGGGAGTATGATATCGTCTGTCTTAGCGAGACGTGGTTGTATGATGGTATTTTTGATTCCGAACTTTTTGATTCGAGATACACTGTCCATAGATGTGATAGAAATTATAATGAACGTGGAGACACAATGGGTGGCGGTGTACTTGTCGCCTTAAAATCTAACTTAACAGTTCGTTCGTCGACATCCATACAATTGAGCAACTTTTCAGCTGAAATAGTGAAAGTAACAATATCGTTGGTGTCTACTGCAATAACTGAGTCACTTCATATATATTGCTGCTATTTCCCTAATATTAACGGCCATTGTGATAGGCTTATTGATTTTTTTGAATTGGTTTCCGATGACAAGCTAAATTATCCTAATGACAGTTTCTTGGTGTTAGGTGATTTTAATGTTCCGACTGCGCAGTGGGTTAAGAATGACAATATCATGATCCTGAGTAATCGTGGTGATGATAATAGTCTAGTGTACGCCTTGGCCAACTTTGTGAATTTTACTGATCTGAGGCAATTCAATTCAGCTCATCATATTAATAGCAGACATCTAGATCTTATTTTTAGTGACTGCCACTGTACCGTCAGTCGTTGCCCTCAACCTCTTGTTAAAGAGGATGCACATCACCCAGCTCTGGAGATACTATTTGCTATACATAGTTTACGAATAATTAAACCGACTCCTAGAATGATTCGACTTTTTCACCGTGCTAACTACGAAGAAATCAATAATGCACTGTCCAAAATTGATTGGATTGAATTATTAGATGACCGTGAAATCTCGGATGCTGTTAATGTTTTTTATGAAACTATATTTAAAATTGTTAATGATTTTATTCCAATTAAAATTGTAAAATATAATAATAATTATCCCTGCTGGTACCCTAGATCCTTAATAAAAGTTATTAATGAAAAATTAAAGTATCATAGGAAATGGAAAATTTATAACAGAACTTCTGATTATGATACGTTTAGTCTCTTGCGTGATCGTGAGAAAAGGTTACAATCTAAATATTATGATTTGTACATTTCAAATTCTGAAAGTAAAATTAAAGAATGTAGCAAATTCTTTTGGTCATTTGTCCGGTCGAAAAATTCTTCCTCTAATATCCCTGAGATTATGCAACTAGGAGAAATAACTGCCTGTGACGGAAATGAAATATGTTCTCTTTTTAGTAATTATTTTGAATCCGTTTACGAGTCACCATCCTTAATCAACAGCAATAATCGTGTGAGTACCTCAAGTGTGAATAGTTTTGTTAGCATAGGTTCGGTTACACTTTCTCCGTTTATTGTACATAAATACCTCAGTAAACTAGATATAAATAAGGGATACGGGCCTGATGGCTTGCCTCCTATTTTTTTGAAGATGTGTCGTTGCTGTTTATCCCTCCCTATTTATTTATTGTTTCAAAAATCTATTTGTAGCGGCGAAATGCCTCAACTGTGGAAACAAAGTTATGTGGTACCAGTTTTTAAATCAGGTGATAAGCACAATGTGAAAAATTACAGACCTATATCTAAATTATGTACTATCGCTAAACTTTTTGAGAAAATTATTTATGACTGTGTTTTTCCTATCCTACGAACCGTTATAATTCCTCAACAGCATGGCTTCATAAATAAAAAATCTGTAGAGTCCAATTTATGTGAATTTGTTCATCAGGTTACTTCCGCTATGGATCAAGGTTTACAGGTGGACGTGGTGTATACCGACTATTCAAAGGCATTTGATAAAATCTGTCATGTAACCTTGATTCGTAAAATTGAAGAACTCGGTATACATGGCGACCTCCTCCGTTGGCTTACTTCATACCTCAGAGATCGTAGCCAGGCGGTTACAATTAAAGGTTACTGCTCTACGTTTGTGCCTGTTACTTCTGGTGTGCCCCAAGGTTCTCATCTTGGACCCCTTTTATTTAATTTATTCATTAATGACATTATTGCGGTATTTAAACATTCTTCAATTCTACTCTATGCTGATGATATGAAGATATATAAAACCATAAGTAAACCTTCTGATTGTAGTTTATTACAGGATGATCTGAATGAATTGTGTAAGTATTGCAATGATAATCTCTTAAAACTTAATATTAAAAAGTGTAACGTAATATCATTTTCCCGCAAAAAAAATACTATTAATTTCAAGTACACTTTAAACGAAAATCTTATTGAACGGGTTTTAGGGGTGAGAGATTTGGGTATTCACCTTGATTCCTCGTTAACCTTTAGTCAACACTATAGATATGCGACTGCAAAAGCCTATCGGATGCTTGGTTTTGTTCTCAGAATTAGTAAGGATTTTAAGAATAATACCACCCTGATTCTTCTCTTTAACGCATTCGTTCGCTCTATACTAGAATTCGGTTCGGTGATTTGGAATTCACATTACAAAGTCCACATTAATGAAATAGAGAAAATTCAAACAAAATTCTTAAAGCATTTAAGATTTAGATGTTCCGCTACTGATCAAGTTGTTCCTAATTTGACCTCTCTGGAAAAACGTCGTAAGATAAAGGACCAAACATTTCTGTTGAAATTACTACATAATGTTATTGACTCTCCATTTCTTCTTAACATCATTAACTTCCGATGTCCAAGACAATCTTCGCGAATTAAATCTTTATTTTATTTAAATACTACACGTACCAAATATGCACAAAATGCCTTCATTCATCGTTCTTGTTTATTATATAACAAAGAATACTGTTCAATTGATTACTTTACGGGTTCGTTACAGAAGTTAACTCAACAAATTAAGAAAATGACCTAGTTTAAATTATTTTTATTTGTATTAAATTATATTTGCGACTCTTTATTAACTATAATTATGTAATTATTACTAAAACATTAATTATTTTCTATTAATATGATTATTATTTTATTTAATGTTAATTTTTTTTTAATTGTAATTAATTTGCTCGCATTATTCTATGTACTATTTAATTGTGGAAACTTTATTGGTCAATGATTTATATTTTATGTTTTGTTTTTTAATTTGTATCAATTTGTACTGTTTGTTTCCCTAATAAATAAAAATAAAAATAAAAAAAGACAAGGTGAACGCACGTTGGGGGGGGGGGGGGTCAATTCTAAGAACCTTGGTAAATCAACATTATAACAAAATACTTATATCAAAGAATCAGAGGAAATCGAGCTTATTAAGCACACGTAGGTATCTACTATAATAAGAGCGTGAAATAAAATGAAAAACTTTTATATGCATATGAAATATATGAAGTATATAATTTTACTCAGAAAACCACAAAAAATTGAAAATAAAATATTATGAAAATTATTCAAAGGGCTTCACTTTTAATCAATCAACATTCTAACTAACATACGTTAGATACAGAAAGCTATGAAACGAACGATAAATACAAATATTAATATTCTGTACACATTGAAAGGTTATTAAAATGAAAATTTCAATTAAAACCGAACTGGTAATGAAAACATTTTCATCCGCAATACCAATGAAGTAAATAATTGTGAACGCGCCGCATATTGAGCGAGAATTAATGAACTTTTATATAATAACTGGTATATTTTCTAGATTAGCTTTAGCCAGGAGCTTTGCTTATCTATACTATAATAAAACTGTAGAGGTCGAATGTCTGTATATATAGAAAAAAAATGGTAAAAACCGAGTCAGGGGGATGTAAGTAGACAAATAGAACATATCCAAATTTTTTTCAATTTTTTTGTTTCTCTGTCTGTTTGTCTGTTTGTACAGGCAAATCTCCGAAACTATTGAACCGATTTAAATGAAATTTTGCATGGTGGTACCTTATGTCCCCGGGCAACACCTGAGATACTTTTCATTCCGGAAAATTAAAGTGTTCCCGTGGGATAGTTAAAATACTATAGTAACTTATACAGCTTAGTACACAACAACTTATGCACCTAATTTAGTAAAATTTGGCATGCCTTATATTGCCGGTCAAACAACAGATTACTTTTCATCCCGGAAAAATGAACGGTTCCCGTGGGATAGATCAGCTGTTTGTGCTTTTGCAGAGGCGAACCCGAGCGAAGCGAGGGTGAGCCGCTAGTATTATAAATAAAAGGGTGCGTGTAACCTTTACGCGAAGTAAAACTTTCTTTAGCAAATAACGCAATTAAATTAAAACAAATCTATAATTAAATAAGGCATGTTAGACATTTTGTCGAATTCGCACACGAAGGGTTCTGTACCATCATACATGTACTTTTTATTCATATGAATTTAACTGTATGTATGTAGTATATTAACTTCAATGATTGATTGCGAACGTTAAAAAAATCTTTTTTTTAATTGTTTGTTGTTATTTTTTTTTACAATTTATAATTATTACACTATATGATATACTTTTAATTTTGCAATGGACCCACAAAACTGTTTGCACGGTTTGTCTGTGGGATCAGAGTCTCACAGTTATTAATCTTACATTATAATATTTAAGGATATTTATATATATTTTATATATATATTAAATTTACATACAGTAATAGAAATACGTACTTTGTGAAGATTTCAACTCTCTATCTTTTTTTTATTCCAATCTGAATTAGTGCTTGACTACGTTCCACCTGATGGTA